TAACTTGATCAAAAAATGTTGCAAGCTATGATAGAGGATGTTTGAAAAAAATTTCGAGTGATATCGCGAAATCAATTGTGTTCAGTCAATTGAATACAAATTTTTCTAGTGTTCTGCAACCGGACCGAGTATCCAGTACCCGATCTGACCCGAAGTCTAAGTTCGAATACACACCTGCCGGGTTGGTTCGGTCCCCGGTATGATCTCGTACCTGGGCCCGATACGGCGATTGGTGACATCAACAACTGAATCCTGATTCACTTGTTTCTTTTTTTATTGATGCAATTAAAATAATAGAAGATTTTGTCATATGAAACAAAAATTTGAAAAACATAATATCACTTTGAAAACTCTTGCTGGATGTCAATTACTTCCTGTTGGGTGTAAAACGGTGGGGTTGTGTCGGGCTTGGATATTAAAAAAAACTGTCGGTCCGAGTTCGAAAAGTTGTACCCGTGTAGTACACTAGTTCTTTCTAATAAAAAAATTTAATTTTCTATCTTCTAAAATGGTCGGACCGTGTAGCTCAACATTTTTCCAAAGACTTTTGCATTGTTTATTATATTTCTTATGTTCATGATAGGCTCGAGTATTACCTGATGAAAAAATCTTACGATTACATTATACTCAATGTAAATCATATAATGCGGATTTTAATGGAGATGAAATGAATATTCACTTAGCACAAAATGAACTAACACGAGCGGAAGCTGCCTGAATTCAGTGAATTTTGTCGATTTAATTTTTTGAAAAAGATGTTTTGTTTTTTGGTCTTTTTTCATATTGTGATAACTTATCAACATTTTCTTGTCAGTAAAGATGGAACACCATTAACGGATTTTATTCAAGATCATGTCGTTGTTGATACACCATTAACAATAGCTGATCGATTTTTTGTTAAAAAGTATAATTTTGTTTTACTTAAAAAGGTTTTTTATTCATTGATTTTCTAAATCGGATTATGAACAACTTGTATATACTGCTGTTGGATGATATTCTCATCGAAAAATTCGTTTATTACCACCATGTATTTGGTGAAAATTAAAACAATTATGGACTAGAAACAAGTATTTTTGTTAATTGAATTTTTTTCAATAAAAACTGCTTTTTTTTCTCAGATTATTTCAACAATTCTTCTTTATATTCAATCAACTGAAGAAGCACAACTTAATATCGATAGTAAATCAAAATTTTCAATGAAAGTAAGAAATTCAAAAGAAAAAGGAAAACAAAATAATAATTAAAAAATTTATTTAGTTATAATTATCAAAACTAAATGCAAGAAATATTGATTTAATGGCTGATACAGATGTTATTATTCGTCGTGGTCATCTTTTATCAAGTCTCCCCCGAACAAAGAAAACGGCCTTTTTCTATTAGCTCGTTCTCCTCTATAGTTCAATGCTATATCTTTAATTTTTTATATATAGATAGAGCGTGTGTCAAAATACATATGTATATAAGAAAATCTACTTCACTGACTTTCTGTCTCAAACATCTCAGATATATACAAAAAGGTATGATTTTCCTACTATCAAGCAAATACCAGTAATAATGTATCTTGTAATAACACATAAAAATAAGTTAAAAAAAGACGATAATTTAGATGAAGTGGAGAAGAACAGAGATGCACCTAGGGGTGGCACTTTAACTTTACTTTAAAGTTAAAGTTTAAAGTACTACTTTAAACTTTAAAAGTTAAAGTTAAAGTAGTGGACTTTAAATTTTAAACTTTAAAGTTAAAGTTTAAAGTAGTACTTTAAACTTTAAAAGTTAAAGTTAAAGTGACCCTACTTTAAACTTTAACTTTAAACTTTTTTTTAAAGTTAAAGCCTGGAGGTAGGAAGTTACCACTACCAGTAATTGGTACCCTTGGGTCTTCAAGTCCTACTCTAGACAGTACCCTTCGCTCCTCAACTCTTGCTATACTAGTACTTGCCCACATAATATGAGAAAATAGGCCTCCTAAAATCTGATTGTTCAAAAAATGGACCTATCAGATTGCGAGATTCTATTTCTCAGTAATATATAGGGTGGAGCCC